ATTTGCATCAAAATGAGATGCTTCCCAGCTCTCCACCACCTTTCTTTGCAAAATTACAGAATTCTGAAATTTCTGTAATTCCAAAAAGTTGTAAAAATTCTGTGATTTTGCAAAGAAAGGTGGTGGAGAGCTGGGAAGCATCTCATTTTGATGCAAATTTTTCAGGCTACAATCTCAATATGTTGATAAAACATTGCTAGGGTTTCAGGGGATTTCTAGAAAAACGGTTCTCTAGAGAAAGGCTAGGAAAGGTCTATGGGCACAAACGGCTATCATATTCGTAATCAGCCCCCTTGATTATATATAAATTGTCAAGTTTGAACAAAATCGGAGTGCCTCACTTGGGAATGTTCCCTCGTTAGTGATCTCACTCGATAGAACGAAAGAAAAAAGTCGCATTTATACGTCTTTTCGAAACCGAAGACGCTTATTTTTTAGAGTGTATTACTAATATACTATCCCCTGTGCAACTAGCTTTCTACTCAGGGAAGAGTGACACAGAGAAACATCATGACGAGTAAAAAGATTTTTTCAGGGATTTTAAGGAATATATCGTCGATAAACGATAGCTTCCAATATTTTCAAGTGTTTTATGAATAACATAAATCTTAAGATTGAAAAACAGCGTATTGAAAACTTCTTGAACTTAAAAAAACAATATGTTAGTAATGGAAAAGTTTTCGCGGTACCATCTATAGTATTTTTAAGTTTTCATTTCATCTGGAAAGTACATATACTATATGACTTTTGAGTTAAAATGATATAACACCGCGAAAACTTGTTCATTACGGTTCATAATATGTGAGCATAGGTAACCGGGTATTCTGTACACACCAGCACCACTAAAAACTGATTTCATAAAAACCGCTTGTGGTTTTCTAAGAATCTACAAAAGACACTTTTCCAAATACTTTTCGAAAAACGGGCTTCAGACAAAGGTAAATCTTAGAAATGGAAGAGAAAAGAGCAAAGCCGTAAACATCACCGGTGATGTTTACAGCTTTGCTCTTTTCTCTTCCCTTTCTATATCGGTGATGATCACCGATATAGATAGGCTTCTCGGAAATTTAGAAATGGAGTTTTTATTGAAACTCTTTTGAAGGTAAAAGTGAGGGCAGGTTTCCCGATCAGGGAGGAGACTGGGAGATGTTGCCCCCTTCCCGAAAAAAATGTTTGACTTTCTAGCAAAAACTGCGAAAACTTTTGTTCGCCAGGCACTTTCAGCGAAGCAAAATTTTTAGCCCCTCCCATCCCTAAGAACAACCGGAAACCCTGAGTGAGAGAGTTGTATATAACTTCTTTCAGCTATTAATTTGATTGCTTTAAATATCAGACGTTTAATTTTATTGCAAAATTATTATTTAAAGTTGAAAATGCACAAACAGATTAGACGAATATGAATTATCGCATGTAAAGCAGAGAAAACATACACAAAAAGATAAAAACAATGAATAGATAAATTGTACATGATATGATGATATTACAGTATGTAAAATAGATCTCACACTTCTATTTTAGAAGACACGAAAAAATTTTTCAACTAGTCAAAAAAGTAAAAAAACATTAAAATGTCACAACGTTAACAATAAAATCATTAACATGCAAATTTATTTATTTTTTCTATATGAAGTATACGGCTTAATTTATAGATCGACTAAAGTATCGATTTATGACAAATATCTTAAATGTAGTACGTTTTAAATCTGATCATCGAGTATTTATTATTCAAGCTGCCAGCATTAGTTGATTTAGCATTGAATTAAGATCTATAAATATAACAAATAGCTAGAAAATGTCATGTCAATATCTTTTACGAGACGTTATAACATGAATGAAATTATAAATTATAGATTTTTTAACTGATTAATGCTCTTTTGTTCACGAAACTGCAATAAATCATTATACTTTGTTTTTAGATTGTTAAATTTAATTTTTTCATATTGTAATTGTTCAATATAATCTGGTTCAAGTATGGAATTTTCCAATTCTGTTTTTTGAATTATAGATTTTAAATTTTTGTTGTTATCTTCTAATGCATCAACTTTCTGTTTTAAATTGCTAAACTGTTCTTTTAACTTTTGATCTCCAAGTTTTGCTATTTTATCTTGATATTGAGCTTCTAGACTTATTAATTTTATTTTGAGTGACACACGTAGTGATGAGATTAATCCTTTTAAACGATCGATTTCATGAGTCAAATGTTTTTGAGAATGTAGCGTACGTTTAATATGTTCATTAGATTCTGAAGAAGGATATTCATAAAGTATAGGTTTTGTCCATTTGGATTCTTTAATTTTTTCTTGTGAAATGTATTTATCGACTTTCAATTCATTTCCATTTAAATAATGGGGCAAATCCAAAATGGCACAATCTATAGGATCCTAAATAAATAACAACAACATACCTTCTCAATATTTTTAATCGTTTTTAGTAGATTTTTTTTGAAGTTGACTGAACGACTCAGATTTGTCTTGTTATTCAAAAAAGAAAACAACATAACTTACGTAGTCATCGAATTCTAATAAACAATAAGTTTTATTGTAGTTATTTTGTCTTATTAATTTACAATCAGTAATTGTACCATACTGTCTAAAATATTTACAAATATTTTCTTGATTAAAATCACTATCATTTTTATTTAAACAAATAATCAATTGATTAACAGATGCAATACGTTCAATTTCAGGACGTTCTCTTGGAATTGTTCGTTTAACAAACAAACGTCGTCTTTCATCTCGAAACGTCATTAAATGAGGTCGATGTTTCATTATATTATCAACCATATTTGATTTAGAACATGTAAGAAATGCAAAACAACCTAAAAAAACAGGAGTATATAGAAATATAAAATGAAGAAAGTTGTTTTTTTGTTTTTATCGCATACTACATCGTTTGAAACTTTTTTGAAACACATTACAGCCAATTATGTCGCCAAATTTTGAAAAATAAGATAAAATAGTTTTATCATCGATATAATTATCAAGATTACCCACATAGAAATCGCAATATCGACGTTCATTTGTATCAGAAACAGACATTTCAGTTAGACTGATAAAAATATTTGTTATCTAGAAAAATAGAAATGTGATCAGAGTTAAATGACTACTGACGAATGAAAGTGAGCTAGAAAACAATTGTTTAACAATTTGCATAGTGGAAACTAAAAAATCACCGATATAGATGGTATACTTCAACTGTTTAACTATGCTACTCGATCTGTACTATTTTTGAGAAAAAGGCTTCTTGGAAATTTAGAAATGGGGTCTTTTGGGTAAAGCGCACTTCTGGATAGATAACCAATAAACTGAAATATGAAAAATAAACTTTTATTGGTATGTCTGTAATATTTAATATTACGTTTCTAAGTCTTTCCTACAAGTAGCCAATCTCCAGATCATACAGACTATATGTAATCTAAAATTGATAATTCATAGAATACATCAGTACTTAATTTCATACTCAATAATAGATAATTTGAAAAACAAAACAAAAAAAACTCACAAACTAAAATACTACTTAAGTCAACATATTACAAGTATAGCAATAAAAAATGTTGAAATTGAAAAAGAATGGCAATGACAAAAATTTGATGATCTTAATAAAGTTGCATTTGTTCAATCAGCCTTCACGCATCGGCAGGCCATATGACATTAGAAGAAACTCATGAGAGTAATAGCGTTGATTATGATCAATCATAATAAATGAAATTTTGATAGAGTCTCGATAAATTATTCCAATTCTATCTTTTTTTAACTTTAATCATCTTATAGCAGAGACGAGCGAGTTACTTTCTCGAGTCACTTAAAGAATCATCTAGAAGTCTTTCCCGCTAAAAAGATTCGAGTTACTTTTTTTAGTAGCGTTCGATTCAGATGTGTTTGGTCTACAAAATGATAAATCGCAATAAATTTTACCGCCTTTACAAAAATAATATAAATTATTCCCGAGTTTAGCATAACAGATAAATCTTACTAAAATTTTGTCAGATTTTTTTAAATTTTCTAATAATTTTCTCGATTTTCATTCATATACAGAATTCAAATTGTCTGTGGATAAATTTACGCGTAGATGTTCTAATTAATTGAAATTTGATAATAACTAGAATATTCTTAAGAACATAATAACATAAGAATCATTTTCGATCATCATTTCAATCATCATTTTCGCAGAATCCTGTCACGGGATTCTGCGAGAGTCAGGTGAAACTTTCAAAGGACTCCTGTGAGACTTTCGAGTCCTGCGAAAGTCTAACGAAAGTTCTCAAAGCCCCATGAAAGTCGTTTGAAAGACCCACCTGACTGCCGCAGGATCCCAAGACAGGAGTCCCGTGGGAGTTTTGTCGGGATTCTCGACTAGGGTAGTTTTTAATCATATTCTATTATATCTTTTTTTAATATTACCAAAATAAAAAATAAAGTTTAGAACAGTAATCGTAATGGAGAGCCTAAATTCAATTTAGGCGTAAATTACATGAAAAACGCAGATCATAGATATTTATTAGCTTATTGTACATCACATAAATTAATGAATAAATCACTAAAGAAAGGCAGCCAGTACTCACTTGATTTAAATTTATAGATGTGAGAACAAGAGTTGTTTGATCCTTCTCGGTGACGTAAATTTTTGAATGCGTTTTTATTCCAATGAAGTTTTGCCAGATAGAAATGCGTTTATTTAATACAAGCTGAAAACTATCCTCTTTCTAATGAAAAAGTTTGAATGTTTAGTACATTGTGAAAGAAAAATCATAGTCATATCACAAACATTCGTAAAAACAAACAATGTCAGATAGATATTGAGCAATTCACGATGATTGAATTCACAACAGTTGTATGTGCAAGAAAAAAACATTTTTCATATTGAAATACAAAAATAATTTGTTAACTAACAAAAAATCCATGAGTTTAAACAAAAACAAAATACAAAGAATAAAAAAAATTATTTTTTAATCGTTTGTAAGCAAAAATATAATTTCCTAATTGTGAAAGAGAGACAACAAGAAAAGAGAAATTTAAAAAATCCTAACGATGAGTTAGCTTTTAGAATATTTTGCAAGAACGTCATAAATGGAATTATAAATTCAGATTTGGTTGTTTTATTCACAAACCAGAAAAATATCTTCATTGAGACAAACAACTAGCCTTATCTAACATACTGCATTCTAAAACAAACAAACCCAATTTGATTTGTCATAAACGGTTGTGAAACATAAAATGGAAATCAAGCTTCTAATCAAATCGACACAGCTCTCAAATCTACAAACACATGTAGGAACAAAAGCTAATTACTAAAAGACGAGCAGAGCAAAAGAATGTAAAGAAAAGAAAAGATTAGTCAACTCGAATGAAGTCAATTTTCTCTATTGAAATGACACTATATGTTCACTATTTATGCGATAAAATTATTCACTGATGATTCTAAACTTGTTCTAGATAATTTA